AGAGAGGGAGTATGAGCAAGAAAGATACATGCAGAGAGAAAAGCAGAGAGACAATCAGAGAAAAAAAGTATTGCCTTTTGGAAGTTAAGTAGCCTTATTTCCACCTCATTCTCTTTCTAGAGACAGCACAAGTTTGCCAAATTTCATAAGAAGAGGCCATGACTTGATAGGAGGATTGTCCCACATCAGTTGCTCTCATGTGTCAAATATGACTCCAAATATGACCTTCAAAAATAGCCAGCAGAGAAGAGGGTGCAGAGAAAAGGGAATGTTCTTGTACTGTTTTGGGGAATGCAAGCTAGCTAAAGTCCTGTGAAAAGTAGTTTGTAGATTTCTCAAAAAACTAAAAATAGACTTAGCACTTGACCCAGAAATCTCACTTCTGGGATTATTCCCAAAGGAGCACAAATAATTCTACTAAAATGACACCTGTATATGCACGTTTATTGCAGCACTATCCACAACAGCAAAAACATGGAACCAACCTACGTGTCCATTAATGGCGGAATGCTTAAGGAAAATGTAATACATATACACCTTGAAATGCTGTGTAGCCATAAAAAGAATAAAATCCTGTTGTTTACAGTAACATGGAAGCAACTGGAGGCCATCATCCTCAGCAAATAATTACTGAACAGAAACACTTAACTGAAAACCTCGTAAGCAAATTTTAAAATACATCATAATATATTTATTCATTGATGTATTAAATTTCAAATAGGAGTCCTAAAACAGGTTCTACATTGGTCAAATGAAGATTACCAGAACTCTGGTCATTTCAAATATTCTAAATGATACTAATGAATTGGTAACATGATATTAAAATTTAGAACTTATTAACTTGAATCAATATGTTTATTCACTAATTATATTTTAGATCACATTATTGATACACAAAAACAGATTTGCAAAAAAATGCAAATGAAGTTCATAGAGCAAAACTTAAAATTCTTATCACTGGAAGTTTTGTGTATTCCTTCTGGTCAATTCCTCTATGTTTACATATATTTTATTTTATTTCAAAGAAGACTAACATACTTTTTTTCTGGAATTTTTTTTTCATTCAGCAATGTGATATGGAGAGTATTAAATGATTTTGTCTTTGGAATTTTTTTTTCATTCAGCAATGTGATATGGAGAGCATTAAATGATTTTGTATTTGGAATTTTTTTTTCATTCAGCAATGTGATATGAAGAGCATTAAATAATTTACTTGTTCTTTTTTTTTTTTTTTTTGAGTTGGAGTCTCACTCTGTCGTCCAGACTGGAGTGCAGTGGCCGCTCCCGGCCACCGCAGCCTCGGCCTGCTGGGCTCCAGCGATCCTTCCGCCTCAGCCTTCCGAGTAGCTGGAATTACAGGCATGCGCCACCACACCCGGCTGATTTTTTGATTTATTGTAGAGATGAGGTCTCATTGCCCAGGCGGGTCTCGAACCCGCGGGCTCAGGCAATTCACTCACCTCAGCCTCCCAAAGGCGCGGGATTACAGGCTGAGCCACCGGGCCCGGCTTACTTGTTCTTTGTAATTACTGCATATCTTTTTGTTGGAAGTATGTAAGATCATTGACAGATAACCTTTTATGTAATGGAAGGAACATTCTGGTTGTACATATTTTCAGGTGTGAGGATATCTACTTGACAGAAAACTAGTTGTAGATTTGCAAGATCAAATAGAGTGTTTCCTTTTTTTTTTTTTTTTAAAAAAAGTGTTATTCTACATTATACTCCCTGTAAAACAGTTTCTCAGACTCTTTCTCAGACCAATGTTCTGTGGAAAAATAATTTATTGACTTAATGAGAATTCTTTAGTACAGTAACTTTTGCCATATTTTAAATGTGATTGACCACTTTTCACTTCTGTGTATTGTCTCTTTATATTCTTCATCTATTTTCATACTGGTCTGTTTGTATCTTGGTTCATGATATGGAGTAGTTCTTGCCATACATTAAAAAATAATCTTTTGTCTATTACAAGTCTTGTAGGATAGGATTGATGAAAATTAATTCAGGCTCATATGGGTGATTTAACAATATTATCTACTAAGACACTACACTTATTCTAGTTTTCTTAAAAACGTGCAAATTAGCTAGATAAATTATATAAAAATTTTGCTGTAAATGCTTCCTGTAGTTCTCTAAGCATCAAAGTTTTAATTTATTTTTAGAATAAATTATACATATATGTGCCGGAGTCCAGCTCCAGTGGGTCAGGGTTTCCTGAAGGAGGGACGACATTGGCACAGGAGAAAAAACTTGGACACTGACTCTGCTGCAAGCAGGACAAATGTTGATTATTGTCTTTTTCAACTCCTTTCATACCCTAGATTTTGGCTTGAGACAAAAACATATTTTTCGTTTTCAAGTCAATTAGTTTCAATTTAATGGACCAGACAGGCAATGTATCTTTGTTCATCCTGTTTTGATCTTAAAAGATTATCATCCTAAACATTAACTATAAATTTTATAAACGTCTAACATTTTCTAATGATTATCATTTCTTAATGTCCATACAAAACTTACTTATTTCTATAACCATTACATTATAAATCACTACTAAGTTCTAAGCACTATAATTGTCACATAGATTAGCAAGTCACACCTGTGACCTTCACACAGCAATTTGCAATTAACCGGGGTAAAGCAATATTCTTGAGGTTTCTTAGCCACAAGTTGGCCTGACTACTTTTCCACAATGTTACACCTGGTATTTACAATCTGCATCAATTATCTCCTGTTAGGGAAAATGAGCTTCAATGTTTGTAAAACAAAAGGCCTCTCGGGCTCAAGTCACCTTAGTCACAATCCATAACCAGAATTACAAGCCTCCTTAACAAAGGGGAGTAAAGGCAAGGGCGCTCTAATATTTATGCGATTGTTAATTTTTTAACCATAATATACTGCATGTAGAAATTAAGAAATTAAGTAAATATAATTTTTGCATTAAATACAAACTGTAGCTTCTCAAATTTCTCCAATTAGTCACCAATCAGTAATTATCTACCCGCACATGATATTTAAAATCTCTATTGATAATTTCCTGGCAAGGTCAGTGAGTTCCCTGACAAACATTAAATTGAGTACTTTCTGATTTTTTACAATTTTCCCAACTACAGTGTTTACTCAAGTGATTGCGTGATCTGATACCAGGAGGCTGGGGATGTGGAAACCTAGGGAGGAATTAAAATGAAGGGAAGGTAATTTCTTCATGAATTCCCCTCTTGCCTTTTTGCAAGCGTGAGTGGAATTTTACTTTCCATCCTTGGACTGTACAAAACTTATTGGCTGCACAAATAACAAAAGTAAAGGAAGCAAGGGTCTCAGCTGCCCAGGTTTGCTTTGCGACCCAGGGTCTTTAGTCCCCTGAACTTTGTCAGCAGGCAGGCCTCCATGGCTGGCTCCCAACATACATGTGAGAGAATAGTTATTGTGAAAGTTGGATTATGTTCTTTTCACTGTTGAAGACACCTAGGTTTTTGTCAACATAGACCACTTTGACTATAAAGCTCTTTCCTGTGAGTGGATTGCCTGAGCCCACGTGTTCAAGACCCACCTGGGCAACTTGGAGAGACCTCATCTCTACAATAAATCAAAAAGTTAGCCAGATGTGGTAGCACGTGCCTGTAGTTTCAGCTACTTGGAAGGCTGAGGTGGAAGGATCACCTGAGCCCAGCAGGTCGAGGCTGCAGTGGCTGGGAGTGGCCACGGCACTCCAGTCTGGGCGACAGAGTGAGACTCCAACTCAAATAAATAAAAAAAGCTCTTCCCTGATGTGTTTTTCAAAAGGACTTTGAGCATTCTTGCAGCTTGATTTAAGCATTTTTAATAAAAAAATTATTACATTTTATGAAAATGATGCAATTTTTATATTATTTGCATTTATTATTGATTTTGTTTTGTAACAGTGTACCTAAGTCTAAAATAAAAAATAACAATTTACTCTTTTGAACATGTTAAAGACTTTAACGTTTCCATATGAGGATTATGGGAGGGGAGGACACAGGCCTCTGAAGGAAGAGAAGAAATTTAGACTCATCTACAGTATGACTATGTAGATTAACAATCATTATTTCAAGGTGTCTTCAACAAAATGATTTCACAACATGTCAGTAAGAAATCTAAATGATGTTTTGTTTTGCTTTAAAAGAAGTAGAAATATGTAAGTATATTTTGATAGAATGCAAATTGAATAAATTGCCTTAGAGTGAAAGTTCTACACGATCACAAATTGAAATTGACCTTACATTTATTTTCAAAGATTGAAAATGCAAGTGAAAGCAACCAGGGCAATGCTTTTAAAGGGCCATAAAACACACACACACACACACACACACACACACACACACACACACACACACACATAGACACACACACACACACACACACGTACACACACAGAGCAAGTTATTGAAACCAAACACCTCCCAAGTAGTTCAGTTTTACAATAGGAAACAAATAGGACTCCTGGTTTTCTAATTCCAATATAATTCACCTGGAAAATGACTTCAACTGAAAGAAGGGAAATACCATGCCATGTCTTTTTTGGGGGAATAAAGTGACACTGAGCCTGAATGTAAAATATAATCTAAGCAGCACTACTGGTCTCACAATATCAAAAGGAGAGTGAGGATTTTTCACCACTGAATTGTCTAAACTTCTCTGGCAACATTTAAATAGGAAAAATCTGTTCAAAATAAAGTAAAAGTGTCCTAAATATTTGCAAAGCAGTATTGATATTGTGAGTGTCCATAATAATTTATGTTTCTGATAAAGTAAGAAGCATAAAGTCACTAATTTTTTTGTATTATTTGTGAATTTGAATAATAAATTTCAATATAAACCATATAGCTTTTTATTATTTTTATATTTCCTAAATTTTAAATCTTTGACATTGAATTTTTATAACTTTCATATTTACTAAATCTGTAATAAACACACTAAAACATAACAATGAATTGTGAAAAGATGTTTCGTCACAGAAGAAATGTATATACTCCTCTTGCTGGAATAAACTGAAGGAGTCTCATCTATCAGGAATCCCAGTTTCAGGCCTTTGATGCAACTAATCTCTTTTCCCCTTCTTTCCTGGTTTAGTAAACTTCTGGAAACAAAACAGGCAACATTTTGTGATGATGAATATCACAGTGACCACACAGGCCAACAGGAACCCAATTACATCCAAAGAGTGGTACTGGAACCACGTGAGGTCATGGGCTGCAGCCCGAAGATGTTTGGCTCCTCTGTGGCGCATCACAAACTCAATCCAGAACAGTGCTCGATCCAGGGGCTTTATTGGCTGATCTTGATGAATTCTTGATAATTTCATAGCATTCTCTTTATATCTGAAATACATATAACCATAAAAATTAAGAAATTGAAAATAAGTTATTGTCTGAGCACATCAAGTCTAAAAAGGTTTTGAAAAATGTCACACAAATGAGTCAAAGTAAATGTCACAGAATTGGCATAGAATTCAAATATATCAATATGGGTAATTATAGAAAGTTTGACTTTTAAACTAGAATTTTTTAATGAGCAAATATTTTTAAAAGTAAAAATGGACAGCCAGGTGAGAAATTAATATCTTTCTGGCAGAGGTAATATTATGTGCTATAATAAGTGAGATAGTGGACATGCTATTTGGGAATAATCATCCTGACTTTTTTTAAGGAATTATGTAACGATGGGTGAAATGCCTCTTAACCAGTCTCTCTGCTTTTACTCTACTCTTATGTCTTCTTTTGTCTATTTTCCACTCACTAACCAAAATAACATTTAAAACTAATGTCCGATTATGACATCCCCCTGATTAAGATTATCATTGGATTTATCATCTCATTAAGAATAAAATCAAAGTCTTTTTTGGTCTACATGGTCAGACACTGGCAACTTCTTTTTTTTTTTCACCTTTAAATTTTTTATTTTAAAATTGTGGGGTACAATTCAGGTTTAGGTATGCAGATATTCATTATGCAGGTACCCTTGCTGATGAAGTGTGCCCCCCCTTCCCCAGGCATTTTTCCACTACTGCCAATCCCACCTCCCTGCCACCCCCACAACTCCCGCAGTTTCCCGCTACTGTCAGTCATTTTCTTATAGTATTATGACAGTTTTTCAAAGTCTACTTATGAGTGAGAACATGTGATACTCAGTTCTTTGTTTCTGTGAACGATCACTCAGTATTATAGACTCTAAGTCCATCCAGGTTGCTGCAGGGTTCATGATTTTGTTCTTCTTTATGGCTGCATAATATTTCATTGTGCATATGTACCACATTTTTTTAACCAGTCCCCTTTTGATAGGCAGCACGGTTGGTTCCATGTTCTTGCTACTTCTAACACCCGTGCACACTCTGTTTTAGAGACATTGACCTTTTATTCTTCTTTAAGCTACCAAAGGTGTTTTTACCTTAGCATCTTTATACTTTTTGTTTCTCTTGCCTTCTTCCTTGCAATGACCTTTATACTTTTTGTTTTTCTCTTCATTCTTCCTTGCAATGACCTGAGTCTTTCTTTTTATCTGTTTTGAGACTTCCCTTAAATGCTATCTTTGAGAAAGGATTTTCCTGGCACACTACGGTAGCATTTCTAGAATTTCCTCTGTTGCTTTGTGCTTAATTTGCTATTTAAGTCCTGAAATTGTAAAATATGTTCTAAAATAAAATTTTAAGTTTGAAATACATAAAATAAATACACATATACTAAGTAAGCTCAAAATTTTAAAATAAACTTAGAAATTCTTATGAAGTCACTAATGAATCTATTACTCAGATTTTAATATACGATCTCATCATTTGTCTACTAGTACACCCATTTTGTAGACCATTTCATTCAGTACTCTCATCTTCAAATCAAGTATTTTCCTGACTTCCAACACCTTAGATTAATTTTTTGTCTCTTTTTTTTTTTTAACTTTGAGAAAGCAGGATTTATTGAGAGGACAGAAAAACTCCCACAGTGGGAGGGGACCCAAGGGGGTTGCCCAATTTTCTTTATGTAATTAAATCATATAGTTTGTCCTTTACTTGTGTCTGTCTTTTGTGTAGAAAGTATTGGTGAAAATTATTGCTATGTAGTAACTGACTGATAAATACCACAGATTATCTCTTCTTTTTATAATTAATGAACATTTGGGTTGTTAATAGTTTTGGGCACTAGTAATAATTCTGGTAAAAACATTTTTACATATATCATTAGGTTTACCTATGAATACATTTTTGTTGGGTATATATGTGAAAGATAAATTGGTAAGATAAAGGTACACACATAGTTGAATTTTCTTGTTGGCTCTGATTTTTGTTGAAAAAGTTAGAAATAGAAAGCATCCTTTGGACGTGGGCAAATGGTAAGTGTGAGCTGGCACTTCTGCCACAGACTTGGAGGTTCACTTGAGCCTCATGAAACTTCAGTCCTATATGAGAAAGGAACCAGATTCTGCTCAGCTGCACACTGCCAGAACCTACAAGGAGTTGTGCACTCATACAAACTCTGAATGACTCCAGTTGAACCATCACCCGAGAACTTGACCCTTGTCGCCTATAATCTATGGCCAACTTTCAGGGCAGAAAGGAACAAAAAGTCTTATCATAAAGATGCTATTATTTGTTACAAATGCTGGAGGGCAACTGACAAAGCCCATAACAACATCTGAGATAATAATACCACCCTTGGGAAGGCCTTCTCCCAGACCTTAACTAGCATCACTACCCAAGTCGCCTTAGACACCTAGGAGGTCCTGAGCCAGTGCCTGTGGCCAGTATAGCACTGTCACAGGTGGTAACTGAGATAGCCACAACACTATATCTGTGTACAATCAAGGAAACTCTATGAAGGCTATGTAATTCCCTTGTCAATCCAATTAGAACTGGAGCATGCACATGCCACTGGGAACCTAGAATACTGGTTGGCTTGTCTCAGTTCTACCTAACATTGCTACCCTCTCTTTCCATGGGAGATAAGAAGAAAGCTTATGTCACTGCAGATCTCTCAGACTAGTCCATAGACTGAGGCATCAGAAAACTTCTTAAGAAGGTCCTCAAGAGATGTCAGTGACCAACTATCCTTAGAATGCAACCTTTGTACCTTCACATCATTGGATCCCTTGCAGGCACTTCCCTGCACCAGCCTATTTGTGACAACCTCATAGTGCAGGTAGACACAGAAGAGTAGCAGAACTCATAGTGGATGGGCCCTCAAGAACTATTCAGGAAAGGGGGAGTGCACCACAAAAAGGGAGCATCCCATGAGACAAAAAATTAACAAAGATCTCATTGAATCTCACTGGGAACTTCCCCAACTGCCTTCATCAGGGCCAAGGCTTTAGCACTTTATAAGGGCACTTCATGCAAACAACTGCTCTCATCTACAAATGCCTTTTCGTGGCCTGAAGACTTAAAGGTTCAACCCAGAGGAAAGTACTGGCATTACACAAAGAGCATACCATGGCACTGGGGAACAAGATGACCTTTATTAATTGTCATTGTAAACCCACAAGAGCCAGTGAACATACACACACATTCCTAACTTGCTACTGCAAACAACATGATAGAAAGCCAACACACAAATGTTCTCTATAACCATGAGATACATTCTTAACCTATACCACCATGAGCCAAAGCTAGAGGAACATAATGTATACACATTAAAGACACATCCCTAAGGGGAAAAACAAAACAAAACAAAATAATAGAAGAAAACACATACACACAAATTCATTCACACTTAAGAAGCCCAAGGAAACTCTGAAAGGTACATTGCAAAGAGAACATCCTCAAGTAATCATCAGGTTGTACAAAGTTAATGTGAAGGAAGGAATTCTAGAAAAAGTGAGTCAAAGCTTTAATAATTTATGAAGTCAACCTGTCAGACTAACAGTAACCTTTACAACAGAAACCCTACAAGTCAGAAGGGATTAAAGTCATATCTTCAATCTTCTCAAAGAGAATAACAGTCATCCAAGGATGTTTTTAATCCTTCAAAACTAAGTTTTAGTAATAAAGAAAAAATAGTCTGTCTCAGAAAAATGAGCACTTTGGGAAATAATCACCACTAGACCAGCTCCACAAGAAATACTCAAAGGAATATTACATTTTGAAACAAAAAGTCAAAATATATCATATTAAAAAGTACCAGTAATTACAAAGCTCAAAGGGCTTATAGAGAGGAAGAGGGAGAGTGAGAATGAGAGTGAGAAAGTGAGAGTGAGAGTGGGGGGA